AATGTAGTCAAGCGGGGCTTTTTCTAATGCTAATTAATTCAAGTACTTTACATTCATTATCTTCACGAAAACTATGAGCGCCTTTTAGTTTTGGTGGCCATCTGCAGGGTGGCCGACGCAACTGCGAGAAATTAATGAGATATTTAGAAGAGAATTTAAATCACAAATAAAAGAGGCCAAATAAAGTTTACATTTCAAAGATAGCTTTATCACTCGACCTTAATTATGGAAAGAAATGGCCGATTTGGGCCTTATATACAAATAAAATTTAAACTATATTCCAATAGCCGTAATGCGCCACCTACCTTCGCGTCCCCTCGACCTGCTCAAATTATAGAGTAGCTGTAAACTCCAAACTCGACAGGACGAAAAATAACAGTTACCTTTTGGAAATAATTGCTTTTATTTATATTCATGGGCCCCATACTGGAATGGTACCACTTACCTGAATTAAGTCCATGGACTTCGTTAAAGGCGACTGCAAAGCCACTAAACGAGACCTAAGAACGACAACTTCCAAATTAAAAAACAAAGTCAACTAAAAGGAGTTGTGTCCAATAATTATCAACAAAAACAATAATAAATAACAGATTATAGAGAAAGACTTACGTTCACAAAAACAAGGTAACGAACAAATGGTTAACCGGCTGTACATTTAGATGGTAACGAACAGAGGTGTACATTTCGAGATTTAATTCAGTTTCACGCGGGGTCACGCTAATGCTCGCGAAAATTTAAACGACTATTGACTGGCAATTCAACAGTATTAAACGGCTCTATGTGCAAAAAGGAATTATAACAAAATTTCCGGAAACATTCAACAAGAACTTACGCAAAGGAAATTTGCCATTTTAAAAGAGACTTGTCCACAAAACACACATCCGAAACTTCAACAGCACTCCTTTCTTCTCCGGACAAATGCCATCCCATCCGTGGATTTATACCATGCCAGATATATTTTTCGTGCAACCCAGCCTAATCCAGGTGAAATACAATCATACAATAGCTAAAGCGACGCTAAACGAGGCTTTTATACGCGCACAACGTAACCACATCCGTAACTAAAAAAATTCGCAACAAAGAAATCAAAGTACTTCGTAAACAAATTCGACTTAGGCTAAATGAATCCTTTGAGTATCCTTAAAAGTCAGTCTGATGAATGAGTCAAGTTCAGTCAATCGTTTGAGTATCCTTAACAGTCTGATGAATGAGTCAAGCCCAGTCTACCCTCTGTTGTGACGGCTGTGACGGCTGTGACGGCGTCACACGCTCAAAGAACGAAATCGTACAGAATGTATCGGGCATCAGATGCAAACATGAAGGTCATCTAACTGTTAAGTATTAATCGCGACAAAACCCTCTTGGACTCAAACATTGATCCCTTTTCCAACTTTGCACCAGGTCTGTAGTGCAGTGAGGCATCGGTGGGTTTACTATAATTGAGGGGCATGTATAACCGAAAAACGTACATTTTCTGTTCACGCGCGTGGCTGTTTAGTAAATATATCAAGTATACAAAAGGTACAGTTCGTTTTCCTCAAAAGCCTATTTTCAGCTTGTGAAAGCTCTTCCAAATTCGAAATATTCGCCATCTTCCCGCGGCACTGGAGGTCAAAAGCGCATGAGATACCTTTAAGTCTCCTTCGCATCCCTTGTTTGCTGGTCTCGTCACGATTTTTGTACTTACAATTTGGTTGAATATCTTCAATTTTTCATAATTGTAAAGCGTTTTGTCGTCCAGTTTTATAGTAATTCAAACAAAACCGGGCATACAAGACGGAATAAAGTGGAGAGATTGGACTATGCATGATAGGAAAACCTTGTTATCTCAGCATATATCGTGCTAATTTATTGCCATACATACTGTAGTGTATTCCGAATAGAAGGCCGGGAACACAATAAACCAGATCAAGATGACGGTAAGAAATGTTTTTAGTCGCCGATCAAAACCTCGTGTACAATACCAAATATGGAATACAGGTCTCGTGACATCAGCTTCGACATAGAACAGGGAACCCAAGAATAGGGAAAATCTAACAAATACCAGTACAGGTAATGACAACTTTATAATACGAAAGTAACGCTTTTTTTATATATTTGTTTTCAAATTTTTTGCAAAGGTATTCTTACTTTGTTTTTTCCTGCGTTATTTTTAATCTAATGACACTTAATGGTTTTTTTAGGCAGTGCTATCGTCTTTTGCTCATTTGTTTGTCTTAAACAGGGGTGACACTATTTTTTGTGACGTTCTTACCTGTAGATGAAAGCAGACAAAGTAAATGTTGATGATTGTGCAGAAAGGGTACGTTTCTCTTGGGACAGTGATGCACTTGTTGCCAATTACATAGACGTACCTTGAATCGGTGTGAAAAGGACTGTTACATAGCGAGACTAGTTTTGGCTATCGATTCATCAGACGGGATTAATGAAAATTTCAAGGTTTATTCCATACCTGCTGAATTGCTTTTTGCTGCAGGAGCTTGAGTAGAGGTAAGTAAGACATTCACGGTAATGAATACCATGCTAGTTGTACCGTATACATGAGATGATCTTTGGAAAACTCAGAAAACAAAAACATTGAGAGAATTTATACCTTGAGTTAATAAACCACCAGGTTACCACTCCTGTCGCTCGGAGTGGAGCTCTCTTCGAGATAACTCCCCCCCGGGTACACAGATCTTGACGCCCTATTATGAGAATGTCGTCTCGGCTCTCACTGCTCTATGTGGGATTCTCTCCCGCACGGAGTGATGCGATTTTGAATTTTCTTCCAAGAAATGTTATCGATTTCTCTTGAAGGAAAACTCCCCATCTTCAACTCTTTTGAATTCTTCAACTCTTCAACGAATTTTGGATTTTAGTGCGAGATGACTTTTCTGAAAATCATAAGAACGACATACTCTGGAAAATCGCACTTCGCGCTATTAAGGTCCGTGATTCTCTAAAGAATGGGGATATATCGACTCAGATAAGTGCGCCTTCTGGTCCCGTAAAGAAACTACAGATCACTGTTTTCTCAATTGCTCCCGTGTGAAATCTGTATGGTCCCACTTTTCCCCAGACGGGAAGCTAGTTCATCGCAAGTCACCCCATAGCATTGCGTCAGGACTTCTTGACAGTTCACCGGTAACTCCTGGGTGTAGAGAGGCACTGCGAGAGTAGAGAGTCCAGCCCAACAACACAACACAGGGCCAGGGCTCCAACCCAGACTCTTTGATAAGGAGTATAGCGCCTGATTTTTCAATAGGTCGCGTCTTTCCCAAAACGAAACCAGTAATGTTTTCACGATCAATTTATCTCACCTATACACTTCTTTGGATTATTTGGATCAACTTTAAAGAAATCGTCGCATGAACATATGTAGCTTCCTCGAGTGTTACTACAGTTCTGCATACAGTCATTTGTTGGGAGGCATTCGTTAATATACAAGCAAAGGAACAAGTATATTTCGCTTTTTTTATTTTATTTTTTATTTATTTTTATTTGAGGATTTGTACCAAGTACTGGAGCAGAAACAATAGGACATGGGTCCCCTACGAGGTTTAAGCTCCAACAAACCCATCCATCCCACCCCAGGGGAGGACATCCATCACACAGTAACCTCGTGCGTGGGAAATTAACGTCTCCTACCCCTAACCCTGCAGGAAACGGGACCCCCATTTATTCGTCCCTATCCGAGAAGACTAGAATATCTAACCATTCCTTGATGTTACAGAAAGATAGCATATTCTTCTCAATTATTTTAAGACCTTGAGTGTTGGTCCGGCCGGGGCTCGAACCCTCGACCTCCCGCACAACAGTCCAGCGCTCTATCCATTGAGCTAACCGGGAGGCGGTTCGCTTTGACCACAATTGTTCTTAACACAATTGTTTTCGAATTATAAAATGAAAGAGGGAGGAACAGACAGTCTTATGCAAGGAAGAAAGCTTATGTCATATCATTTTAGAGGACGTACGCGATGATTTATTTACACCAAAACTTAAGGTAAGATCAGGCGAAAGCCAACAACACGAAGAGAAAGATATCATTTCACATATCAAGGAGGAAGTTCATTGGGTTGAATTGTAAGTCAGTTAATGACTCCTTGAACATTAAAACAAATTGAAAGTGAAATATCAAGATTCTGCAAGCAGAATTCAGTTCGATCTTGAGTTCATGTGTCCACAGGATAGGGGAGAACAGGCTGGGACAGGACTCAAAGAAATCGGACAGAAATATGTTCGTAATTGGACAGGAAGTAAGGTGGCTTACCGTCACACGCGCGGCCGTCAGTACTCAGCTTGTATCCGTTGTTGCAATCACAGATGAAAGAAGCTGGTAGATTGATACAGCGCTGTTCACAGTTGTTCAACGACTTATTTTGGCACTCATCGATGTCTGAAAAAATAGTGTAAGCGTTTCAGCTCGTTGAGTCTACAGGTACAAGCAATGAAAGCTTTTTTATCAAAATGAGAAAAGAGAGCTGGTTTTATTTTTGTATATAAATTTCCACTCAGTGATAGAGGTGAGATTATTTCGAAATCAGGGGGCCTAATACAAATAACGTCTTTCTTTCGTAATTTCAAATTTTTCTCGCCTTTTCCATGTGTTTTTTACGTTTGCAAGCTCGAGCATAGTCGCTGAGTTCATCTTTTTTTAATAGTGACTTTAAGAAAACCACGACGGCTACGGCAACGAGAACGTGGAAAAACAATAGATCTAATTGGCAGAAAAATAGCCCAGCACGTGCGTTTTAAAACTTTTTACATTTCTTAGCCGTCCTTTGCGAAACAACAACGTGAAATCACCAAAATTTGCGTCGTCTGCGAAGCGAGACTGCTGCGGCAAATTCTTTACATTTCCATTTGTAACTCAACGCTACTTTTATGCGTTATGTTGAGTTTGATATCTGGCGCCCTATGAGACGGTAAACACATGCAGCCATTTTCGAAATTCTAACTAAAAGTAGAAACTCATTTTTTAAACGACGTCTTCCGTGGCGTTGCCGTCCTGACTGCTCAAAGTCCCTAATATATATATATATCTTATTAGACGTTTTGTTGTGTAGTATCGCTGAGTATTTTTACGAGTTGTGCCGTATTTTGACGAGCCCGTAAGGCGAGTCAAAATACAAATAACGAGTAAAAATACTCAGCGATACTACACAACAAAACGTCTAATAAGATATATATATATATTAGGGACTTTGAGCAGTCAGGACGGCAACGCCACGGAAGACGTCGTTTAAAAAATGAGTTTCTACTTTTAGTTAGAATTTCGAAAATGGCTGCATGTGTTTACCGTCTCATAGGGCGCCAGACCTCAAACTCAACATAACGCATAAAAGTAGCGTTGAGTTACAAATGGAAATGNTAGATACGTATGATGCACGATCCTCGCAGTAGATAGCGCTATTTAAGCAATAGCGAAAATCAGACCTGAAAAAAAATCAGGCCTGTACGGGATTCGAACCACTGACCTCTGCGATACTAGTGCAGCGCTCTACCAATTGAGCTAACAAGCCAACTGGGAGCAGGCCGTTAAGTTGATTCGTAATAAAGGATCGTGCATCATACGTATCTAATACCGCAGTTCAAAATATATAAACTTCATATATTTCATTGTAACCAAAAGCTTGACTGATTCGTTAAAAGGTAAAAAGCTATTGTCACTCCAAATTTGCATGATTAGATCTATCTGACTAAGTAGCATTTACGATTTGCTGCAAAATGACAGAAGAATGACAGATTCTCTTGAAGCGGAAAAATGAAACTTTGAAGATCTTTTTACCTTATGAAAAATTTATTAGATAAAACGGTCGATGAAAAAGTGGGGAGAAATTTATAAAGAAAATATGTATTAGATGCTGTGATTAGATGAGAAACATTTTCTACCTGGAAGGAAGAAAATGTTTGTAAACATACCTTTCTTGATGTTGTAACATGCCAAGTGAAATTTAAATAGTAACCAGTCTGATTCCAAGCAGCTCCTTCAGGTTTATTGATAACACGAAAAGTAATCGTGTCATTGTCGACAGCCCTGATGCTCAGGTGAACTGTTTCACCAAGGGTCGCATTTATCGCGTTCGAAGTCGTCTGTATTTTGGGCGGGAAGTTGTCTGTGAAAAATTAATGTGATCGTGTAACAATCATGATGAAATCGTTAAGTAAATGTTATAGATAAACTGAATCAGCAAAAAATACATTAGAAACTAAATGAAAACGCTGATAAAAAAAAACCTGAAAGAATTCCGATGATTCTGATACTGTACTACACAGGATTAGGAATCCGTAATGATTACAAACATCTCCATGCGATGTTGTCGACATACAACCATTTTTATCAATTTTAATCCATTAAAAACTTCTAGATACCTAAAGAAGAAATAAGATTTGAAATACATACATTTTTCTCCTAAAAGAAATAGCAAGTTAAAGTTTAACAGACAGATTTTAAATTGAAAATAAAAATGTCAAAAACGGTGTCGAAAAAGGCAGTCAAAGTTGATTCTTTTCGTCAATTTTTGTATTTCCTTATGATGTAAAATAGAGAAGTTTAAACACCAAATGGTATATTTAGGAAAGAAAAAAAAAGTGTGTCTAATATCACCGTGATGATCATTTTTTATTTCTAAGATTAAAATCAATTCCGTGCTTCTCATGACATATTTGTTACTAACCAAGTTAGAGGTCTGTGCAGTAATTATAAGTTACGGACCGAGTTTATCCCGATCGAAAATATGGCCTAGGCACGAGAGATACGATATATCCAGATACTCACCAAGTTTGTTTGTCTCATTCACCAGCTGAATGCTAATATCTCAATTCAATTCAATTCAATTTCAATTCAATTTATTTATTTGTTAGCAATACAATATTATCACAGTCCTAGGTGACCCGCAATTAGCAAGCTATTCTAGGCGGGCCACCCTTCTAAAACAAGTGCTGTCTCTGCTAATGATCACATACCGATACAATTAAACAAAGATANATAGGATACGTTGTTTTGCGCCAAGTAATAGCCAATAATCTGGCTGACACTTCCAGAACAGAACAATAGGTGCAGAGTTAGGGCGCCGTCAACCAGCCCCAGCATCTTAGAGCCAACCGTGTCCTACTTGATGCTAAATTACGTCACGTAGCTTCACACGAGTTAGTCAGGGTGGACGCTCAAGAGCTTCAAGAGTTCTCAAGGAGATGACTAGATCCAAAGCCCGCGATCTAAAGTTTTCCATCTCTTTCTAATCCGACGCTAAAATGGATGGTATGTTTTTTTGTTTATATAGTTCTTATGAAATGTAAATAACGTGACATTCGATTTAACAAGCAGTTTGGGCTTCGGTTTCGATGATCGGCAAACTGGTGTCCCGCTGATCGACTGAAAAAGATTCAACGCAATGAAGCTTTATTTATTTGGAGGCTTCTAGAATCTAACCAATTACAGCAGTACAGATCGGACAAGCTGTAGTAGTACCTTTGAATGTCAAATAGTACTGGTAATAGTAGTATTTCTCTAGATTTCTTTCTACCTTCGCGAGTGCCTTTCGAAAGGAATTTTTACATTCCGCGCGACATGGAGACGTTAAGTTCCTAGACATGTCTCCTCGTTTGGCTAGGCCTTTAATTTTTAATCAAAATGATTCAAGCAACATTTCATTCAAGAATTTCCGGTAAAGCCCAATCGACCGAGGGTTGTTATTAATGTTGTTTTATTCAATCGGGTTTGATATGGCACCGTTTGGCATCAGATTTTAATAGTTATTATTACTAGTGGCCAGGAAGCTTCCAAGGTTGAAAAAAACCGCTACAAAATGGGATCCGCCGGAGTACACTGTTTCAAAGTATTATGACTCCGTCCATTTTATTTCCCATTGCACACTGGAAAGTCCATCATGTCTACAAATCCTGATAATTTGCTCAAATAAATGGGAATTTAGATCAACAAAGGTTTGCAAGTAATGTTGTCTCCACAGGAGATTATGTCACCTCCCGTAATGTCGAGTTTCCTATCAGAATTTCCTGGAATATAGATCGTGTTACAGTCTCGTTTTCTTGTTCAAGAGAAAGGAGGTTTAATTCATTGGGTAAAATACCCGGGAAACTGGTCAAAGAAACAACAACTGTACGGCTAGCTTCAAGCAATGAAAGCGAATCTACGGAGGGAAAAAGCAAAACCAGTACTAACAGAAATGAAATCTTTTGGGTACTTGTTACTGAATAACCTAAGAAACAAGTGAATAGATGAATGATCACATATCTGAACTTCGAAACGGTACCCCTCTCAAGCAGAAAGCCTGCGACAATGAAATATGATAAGGTATAAATCAATAAGCGAAGTACTTGTCATGGAGCTTCGTGCGTTTTTTCCGATTATACATACAGCGCCTCCAAGACAGTTACAGGCTGTTGAGGAAAAACTGAAGCCGAAGGTAGGGATGTTTCAACCTTTTTAATTTGTTTTAACCATATCATAACTGATTTATCTTTTATATATGACTAAAAAATAATTGCAAAGCAGGATCAACGAAATTTCGAGCAATCGAGTACATGTTAACGAGAATGCGAGCCTGCAAAAGGCAAAACCACTCGGTGGTTAAAGATCAAAAGTCAGCTGACGCAGTGAAAAGGCAATTATCAGATCTAAGCAACAAAATCGATCACACCCTTCATCCCGTGTTCAAGAGTCGCAAAATCTGTGAAGATCTCAGAGTACGTGAGCCTAAACCTCCTATAGTTAGCCAACAATGCGTTGTATATAATTATAAATGTGATCTGTGTGATGCAGAGTACGTCGGGTACACCAGCCGGCATTTACATCAACGTATTAATGAGCACCGTAATTCGGCCATCGGCAAACATCTAAAGAACGACCACGGCCTACAAACCATCGGCGACCTGACCAAGCATTTCAACGTACTTAAAAAGTGCACCGGGAAACTGGACTGTTTAGTTCATGAAATGCTTTTCATAAAGAAGATGAAGCCCTCTTTGAACAAACAATCGGATTCCATACGCGCGAAACTATTTATTTAATAGTTTACATTTATGAACTCAACACGCGCAATTATTTATTTAAATATTTTAAATATTTTAAACTTTTTACGTTTGCCACCTTCGTACGGTATAAATTAACTATTCATTTTTATTCTCTTCTCACTTGAGAATGATGACATGGAGTCATCGAAACGTTGTGTGTTTTTCTCGCTAGTGTTTATTCTTAAATGTCTAACAAAATCTAATGTCATTCGAATATTGAAACGCGAAGACAAGCTGCATTTATTCAGACGACTTGAAGATTGTAGCAAGAAACAAGTTAAATGTGATGGAACTATCGAGTTTCTTCATCTTTGTCAGAATTTCAAACTCTGNCGATAGACATATCAGTCAGATAATATTACAGCACTCGCGGTAAGCTTTCCTTTTCTGCGATGAGTGAGAAAAATGCAGAGAATGGGCATCAACTCCGCAATTCATCTTGTTTGAGTGTGACCCTTTGGTATTGACAGTTTTCCTGCAAATCAAACAGTATTTTGCAACGGTACCAACTGATAATGAGTACCAATTATTTCTTGTAGATATTGACGAATGCGATCCGACTAGTAAATGTGTGCAGAAATGTGAAAATAGTGTTGGTAGTTATAACTGTTCATGCAATACACATTTTAAAACTGACCCTACTGATTGGAGGAAGTGTGTGGGTAAGTGGTTCATTTCTAAGAATCTCAAACTATAGCTATTCATTGTTTATGCAAATAGAAATAGACGAGGACATAATTTCAAAGATAGTTATTGGTCTTAGGCAGTGTGTTTACTAACCACAAATGCCCATCAGAAACCTTTAAATGGTTATTGTTGTGTCTGAGTCATCCAAGGAATAGTTGGCAACTTGGTTCCCAAGCTATAGCTCAATACGGCAATGTCGTACGTAATTACGCGCCGTCTTTTCCTATTGAAGAAAAATAGTGGAATCCATCCTATCCAAACTAGAGGGAGACCTTTTTACGATTAGAAATTCAACATGGGTGACTATCATTCTTCACAATTTCCTTCCGCCAAACAGAAATAACAGTATTGGCATTTCTGACTCTTTACCGGTATTAATTCCGATGACTTTTCCTCACAGCCAAAAACCCATGTACTTCTGATTCTGACCCTGGTTGCAATCATGTTTGCTACGAAGATAGCAACAAGCAAGCAGCTTGTACTTGTAGAGCTAATTTCGAGCTGCAAAGTGATGGAAAGACATGTAAAGGTATGTATAAGATTCTGATCTTTTTGTTTTCATTGACCATCTATGGAACTATATTGATGAAATAATTTCATAATTACTGAAATAAAGGGACGCGCAGAAAGCACTTGAGGATCAATAATGTTCGCTGAATTTTGTGTCAATCGAGCCATTTATCACTTAATATTCTTTAAGCAATATTTTAGTGTCTTTTCCCACGAATTTTGAAGGATTTCATAATTAATTTTTTTGGCTTCTGGGCTCCCGCAGGGCGATCCCGCATGACGTTCAGAGCTGTTTTCCTCCAAATTTCATTTATATTATCTGTGCAGTAGCATAGACGTTGACCACACATGTCCAGTGTATGTGTAGAAATCAAGTTGGTGCCGATTACATCAAAAGGGTAAAAGTAAAGGA